CTCTCTCTCTCTCTCTCTCTCTCTCTCTCTCTCTCTCTCTCCTCATCTTCATTTGTTGCTAATCGAAACTACTTGAAATTTTATGTATTGCGGTGAAATTTTCCGTCAGATAAAAAATATTATAATATCATCTTTATTTGTCATTTGCAAAAAAAAAAAATGATGGAAATCATTTGACAGATTGAAGTAGTATTCATATAAGAAACAGTGACACAACACTTGTAAAAACTCTAATACATTGAATAGGGTGACACATTTAGTAATTTGAACCCCCTAGTGGAAGTACGTTATTATAAATCAAACCACAAACCATATTTTTTTGGTGACACACTCAGAACAATATGGCTAGTCTGCTGACCAAGAAAATGATGAAAGAGTGGAAAAATCTTTCCTGCTTAAGTTCAGAGGAACCACGTCTTTATCATCTGAAACCACAGGATTCAAATGTATGCATATGGCATTTGTTATTGAAAGAACCAAGAACTTTCATGGAGATATACATCCAACTCTATATTGCTGATGGCAAAAGATCTGAAATAGAGCAATACGAACAATCAGCGGTGATCATTCGATGTTTAACACCAAACAATTTACTCCCTATAAATAGGAATGTTTCATTATCACATCTCAGTCATATAATCGTGGATGAAGGTCTAAATACATTTATTATGAACCTTTGGCATACTTTTTTTGCGACAAACTACACATCTGATAACAAATTTCACTCAACAATAATAAATGCATCGATGTCTCATATATGGAATAGAATCATGTGTCGAAGTTTCAAAATTCATTTTCCTGATCTAGTTGGAATATTACAAAGTGGAGATTATCGTACAATCAAAAGTTATTCGAAATGGTTAAGAAGTGTGTACCCATCGCATTGTGGTATTTACAACAACAACAACAACAACAATAATAATAATAATAATAGTATAAACACAGACATTTTTCAAAATTTGATCTTTCAGCATTCAATAGACAATAATAATAAAAAGAATGGTAAAAACAACTATAACAACCAAAGTGCGAGGAATTCGCATTTCAACACAAAAACTACTCATCAACCAAGTCCTTGTGATGTATATAATATGTCATATTCGTATCCGTTTAACCAACAGAGAAGATCAATATTTAATAGGCAAACAGAAGATATAGATATGTTCGATTTAGACCCAAATTATGATGATGTTAGTATAAAGAGGAGAGGAGCATCGGACATCAAACAATCAAACTCATATAAGAAAAGTAAATTTTAACAAATATTATCATAGACATCAATACAGACACTTTTGCATCATCAGAATTTACTTATATACACATATAAATATATACAAATAGATAGATCTAGCTACACATAATAAAATTCATTAACTACACATTACACTTGTTTAATTTTCGTCTTGGTCTCGTATCATTTTTTGGAATGAGCTAGAATTTTCTTAATCATATCATTACCGATCTTTGTTGCTGCTGGGAACATAGGTTCAAAGAACTTTTGGACATCGTCAAATTGTTTTTGATAGAGATCAAAACTTTCAAACGATACTATGGAACTCCATTTTCTGGCTGCAACTACAAATTCAAGATCGATGCTTCTAAATGCCTTGTCATCAATAGCAGCATCGATAGTCTTGTCTAATAAACCAGGCGTTAAAAACAAATATTCTGACACACCCAAAAATATTCGAAAGAGTGGTGTAGAGCAAATCATATGATCATATGGATTAATTCCCAATTGATACCATGAATCGACAATAGCTAACAACGATAAATGTGAATTTGGAACTGAATTTATTGAATTTCTACCTTTCTCTGATAATGAAAATTCATCTAATAGGGAATCATCTAATAATAGCAGCCCTGTATGATTCCCAAATACAAACTCCTTAGCCTTCATTATTCTCTCAGTTAACTCTTCCTTTTTATGGTCTATAAAGAGTGTAAACAGTTCGGTGACACTTGTTGCGTATTGAAGAATTTGTTTATGAGCTTGTGGGTTGGTGATTGCCAAACCTGCATAAACGTGCCATTTGTTAGAGTAAATTCTTAACGAAATATTAATTTTAACATTTTCAATACCACCTTGCCATTTATTATCCTTTGCATCCCATGGGTAAGTTTCAGATTTTGCCCATGCACTACCCATTGATAAAAAGGCGGCATGGGTTACAGCTTGTGTATCTGCTGTTATCTTATCATGTTCATCGCAAGTCAAATAGACATGTTCACTCTTTAAACAAGACATGATAGAGTCTACCAGAGATAAAGAATAACCATTATCATTTGATCTGTGATCGATTATTACCAAAGGTTGACCTTCAGTGTTTACTTTAGGTCCATGTAACGAATGTACAGTTATGATCTTTGTATCGCTGGGTAATAACCTTTCAAATGCTAAAACTTCTGGTCGTTTACAACTTGTTTGGCCACCGACAATTGCATTAATTTTCGAAGAAGGGCCATAAAGGCCTACAATTTTATCAATGTTAGCTGCTTCGACACTATAAATAATGAAATCACTCACTCTACTTACCCTATGACCATCTTGGACTAAAGTAAATTTAGCATTAGCATATTTCTCCTTTAAACTGTCATACAATTCTTCTCTATCACATGCTACAACATTCCATCCTGCTTCTGAAAACTTCTCAGCATATAATTGGCCCATATCACCTAAACCTATGATACCAACTATTTTCTCTTTCTTCCATTGTGCGATCTGTTCATCTGTACCTACAGTCATCTTTTCTAATTGTAATGATAATACTTATAACCTATAACCTCACCTTCATATAAATAATAACTAAAACTTTGGAGATTGATACGTATATATCAACGAGTGATAATTATTTATGTCCTTTTAGTAATTGAAGGGTCTTCTTTGTTATTATATTTTCGAGAAGCCTCAAGCCATGAAATTTTCAGTTTTCGTCATCAATTTTATTTTTTTGGTCAAGTCAGAAGTATCAGTCATCGTCAATGACACATAATATTGGCGAAAGATATGTTTGAGTAATTGTCGATATTTTATTCGTACATTTGAATGTATTTATAATTATATTTAGGATGAGTCTACGAGGGAACTTATAGAACTTCAAGTTAGAAAAGAATACGAGTAATTCAGTTAACAAAAAAATAAATTAAATATACAAGTTGAAATATAAGATGGCGCATATGTATGGATAACCTTGAGAGGCAGTATGACGATGTTGTTTTTGACCTCTATGGGTAAATTTTGATCTCGATTCCACTTAAAGAACGTTTCTTCAGAGATGTATCTCTGTCTCTGTCGTCTATTATTGAATCATCGTTGTTTCCTTCCGCAATCACCTCATCTATCACATCCACACTTTTGGTACGGACCTCCAATCGTTTACCTTTCTCTTCTGCAAAATAGCACCCAAGAGCCATAGTTTTTTCAGTGGCTTTTCCCATACCTAATAATACAACACATTGAAACTTGGGGTCTTTTTTCCTTTTATCAAGATCATTCAAAAATTTATTAATTCGTTTGATTCCGCTGACAAAAGGTGTTGAGGATTTTACATATATTGTCGTCTTGATGTCATTATGCGTAGCCTGTTTCAAAGTCGGATGTTTAACAGTTATTTTAGAATTTTTATCTTCTTTGGTAGTCTTTGGTATTACTCCCATTGTTATATTTATATTTGTTTCTTGTTCAAGTTTTAATTTTTCAGTTCACAACTCTCGATGTCTAACAAAGTATAGGACCTTTGCAATGGATATTGTTAAATCAATATTAGTAGTGATTGGATAATAATATAATGGATACAATAAATTAACATGTCAAGTATTTGAAAATCTTGTCTTTTTCTATCTCATCTCTTGTTGAATTTTGATATTTTTTTTATTTTTTGAATTTGATTTTTTTGAATTTGTAAAGGAAAATTGTAGGGCAGATGGATATGAATAAGGGAAACAAACTGAACTGACCCTCCTCTGGCTAATTTCTTGGAGTTGGATGATTAACGTTCCTTATATTGATGTCTGTAAAGGAATTCTTTTTGAAGGAATACTTCAATCCCATTGATTATTCACAAGAAGCTTGTACTACTATCAAAGGGCGACAAGCTAGTGTTTATAATTGTTTCAGTTGTGCCTACGATTTCGGGGTAAAAATCACTAGTTTTAACTAAGATCTGCACTGCTTTAAGAGCCACTATTCTTATATCTCATCCCTATTTATATAACAGTTTAAGGATACAATAAACCTCCACACATTTATAAAGTTTCCTTTATCAAATCCTAACCTTTTTTTTCGAATTACGACATTCAATACATTAAAAAAAAATCTACGCATTACGTCAAACCCCAACTAAATATATATTTCACGTTAGTTATGGAATCACCACATTACGCTCAGTTTGTAACTCAAATTAACCAGAGGATACCTTTAATCATGACTACTCCTCTTCCTGTTTTGAAAGGTTTATCTGATCTATATCCTTTACTAATAATTATTGATAATATTTTGAGTACATTACTATGGACCACAGATGATTCCCCATTGATTTTCGTAAATATGATGATGGTATGTCTCAGCATACGGTATCTCTTCATACCGAATAATTTAATTATTACTGAGACCTGTGTTCAACACATGCTACTAGATTATCTTGGTTTGTTATGTACAAGTTTTCTTATGTGTTCCACTGGTTATTACTTACACACAGTCATTATGGAAACCAGAAATTCAGAACCACCAACAGTTGATGATATTGTTATTCTACTAGAAAACGTGGAACACAAGTTACATGTCATTAAGAAAGAAGCTTTAAATTTATTTGTAATTAATAACTACAGGGTGCTTTTCCAATGGTTAACTTTGGCAACTTTTATTCAAGTATTAATTTTCAAATTTCATTTGTTACCATATATCAATGATACCAAGTCCTATTTAATAGTAGCATTTATTACAGTATCAATATTCCATACACGAACTATTCAAGGATTACTACAAATATTATGGAGACTCCAATACTTACGAATTGTATACTTCTGGTGGAGAGGACCCCATGATAAGTTCTATAGTATAAAAAATTTGGCTCCATTAGCTTATTTTAATATGATCATATCAAATCAATCATATATCACTGTTAAATTAACTATTCAAAATACGGAGGAACTAATTAAAATAGAAACATTAAGAAACAGATTGATAGAATTGTATGAACAAGAAGAAAATATACCACAAATGACTGAAATATCTACGCCTTCCTTAACATTTAATATTATGAAAATATGTGTTAAAGAAAATCAAAGAAAATGGCAGAATGGTGCATGGACAGAAAAAACGTTATCCTACGAGAGAAGTAATTTCACAATCGTTTCTCCGTTTGGAACTGTATTCAATTCAGATAATCCTTTGAACTACGAGACAAATGTTCCACCAAACTGGATAAAATTAGATGAGATGTGGAATAAATCCCCTTGGACCTATGGTGATGGTAATTGGCAAGTCATTGGATCAAAGGATTCCACGGAATGTTTTACAAGAACAAGATCATGGAGTTTTAGGATCTTTCAGAGAAAACCCAAGTAATCAAGAATTTATATAGTACATACATATATAATCTTTGCATTTATTAAATTTAATATATTCTTACTCAAAATCTAATCATGAATGAACTTATCCATTATGATATGGATCCTTAGGACACAAATACAATTGCGACGCTTATCAGTACGTATATATATTTATTAATTTTTGTATCGTATGTGTTATATAATGGTGGGGGTGTTGAATGAACAGAAGTATGTAGTGAGTGAGACATCTCAGAAGAGAAAATATTGAATGAAAAAAAACATTAAATTAACTAATCTAAATCAACATCACCTTCAGCATCGGTTTTGCTTTCCTTGGCTTCAGCTTCAGCCTTTCTTTGAGCAGACAATTTAGCAGCTAGGTCAGCCATTTGGGAAGATTCTTGCTTGGCTCTTAGAGCTTGTCTCTTTTCTTCTTCCTTTTGTTGGTATCTACCCTTGATTAGGTTACCAAGAGAAGCTAATTCTTCGTACTTAGCAATGTACTTAGCCTTAATGGAATCGTAACCATCATCGTACAACCAGTCTTCGGCCTTTTGTAGCATTTCCTTTAATCTGGTCTTTTCAGCATCAGAGGCAAAATCAGAATATTCTTCGTCAAGCTTACCACGTAGAGTGTAGATATATTCTTCTAGAGTGTTCTTACGGTCTTCAGTTTCGTAGACAAGTTTGTCTTGAGCGTTCAATTCGTTTTCCTTTTCGATCAATTCGTTCAAAGCCTTAGCTTCTAGAGCAAATGTGTGAGCAACAATAGTTAGGTCAGCCTTCTTGACAGTCTTCGTGACTTCCTTGAATTCAGGTTCAGCATCTTCAGCAGCATCTTCTGGTAGAGGGATTTCTTCCTTAACAACAATATCTTCTAAAGTGTAAGCTTCTTCAATAGTGTGAAGACCGGATGGGTCACATCTCAACTTTAATTTAACTGGAACAGATTCTTCACCTTCACCTAGTTCAACACCAGTGATTTCCCAGTTGGCGATCTTTTCAGCAACATTAGCTGGTAGATCTTCTTTGTTAGTGTAGAAAGCTTCCATGTTGAAGTCACCAGTACGGTGTAGAGTGATCATCTTGGTAGATGGGTAGGTGGTGTTCTTTGGGAAGACCTCTAGAGTGTCTTCATCTTCAGCTTGCTTATCCCAAGAGTAAGAGACGGAGTATGGATGGATATCTTCGAATTTGAATGGTCTGACTCTTAGAGTTGGAGAATGGATAGCACAGATGAAAGCAGCACCCTTGGCAATAGCTTCGTCTTGGTTCAAAGTTGTAGACAATGGCTTACCGAAGGCCTTGGAAATAGAGTCCTTCAAAGTTGGGATACGTGTGGTACCACCAATGACTTCAACAAAATCGACTTCATCAGCAGTGATACCAGCCATGGCCAGAGCCTTGGTAACTGGTTCAGTGACAGATTCAAGCAATGGCTTGACTAATTCTTCTAGTTCTTCACGAGTCATTTGAGAAGAGACATCGACGTCGTTCATAACGGATTCAACAGAGAATGGAGCAGTGGTATTGGCAGATAGAACCTTCTTTAACTTTTCAGCAGCAGTAATGATTCTGTTGTAAGCCTTAGCGTTTTCTCTGATATCAATCTTGTACTTAGCCTTGAATTCATCAGCAAAGTGTTCGGTGATGGCACGGTCAAAGTCTCTACCACCGAAGTGTTTGTCGTAAGCAGTACCTAGGACCTTTAGTTCACCCTTCTTGAAAGCCATGATAGAACAAGTGTAAGAAGAGTGACCAATGTCAACGAAAGCGACGATTCTTGGTTTCTCTTCACCTTCTGGTAAATCGGTCTTGAAGACACCATAAGAAACGGCAGCAGCAGTAACATCATTGACGATTCTGACTGGGTTTAGACCAGCGATTCTAGCAGCGTCACTCATAGTGTAACGTTGTTCTTCGGTGTACCAAGCTGGGACAGCAATACAGACATCAGAGATGTTAGCCTTGGTTTCGTCAATAACAGTGTGCTTAACTTTGTCCATATACATGGCAGCCAATTGACTACCAGAGTAAGTTTGTTGTTCACCAGCAAATCTGACTTGGGCACCGACGTTACCGTCGTCCATCTTGACAAGCTTGGAAGTAATGTACTTGGATTCCTGTTCCATGTCCTTGTCATCGTATTTCAAACCAAGGATTCTCTTTAGACCAGTAACAGTGTTCTTAACGTTGGAAGTTTGCTTAGTTCTACCAGTTTCACCTAGGTATCTGTTCTTTGGACCAAAACCAACAACAGAAGGAGTGGAACGGTTGGAAACTTCATTGACAACAATATCAATACCTCTGTTTCTTGCAACAGCTAGGACAGAGTTGTCGTTACCAAAATCTAGACCAAATGGAGTACTCATTATGTATTGGGAATTATGAACGTATTGGTTGATATTTAATATAAAGGTTTTATAAATAAGACTTTATTAAAGTAGAAAAGCGGGAGAAATTTAATAGCCCTGATTAGTGATTATTCATAAAAAGATTGTGTTTCTCTTATATATAATAAACCATTGGCAACCAGAACATAGTTTCACCACCAATACTGAATGACCCAATGTAAGATGTGTGATGGGTAAAAAGAGCTTTAGTTTCTTTCAGAAGTCTGCAGTCTCTCGGGGTCCTAAGAGTGCTCATCATCCAAGCATCGCAAAATTTTTCATTTTTTCCTGCGAAAATTTTTTTTATTTCGTAACATGCCGTCGGTAACGATCTCTCGAGAACATTCTAGAATAAAGACACAACATCATGTGACCTCGCGATATTTTCAAGAACTTTCCTGAAGGATCATGATCAGCGTTTGCCATTCCGGAGTGGTGATGAGTTGTAGTAAAGGTGTTTCGTAGTCCTCACCTGGCGCAGTTGTTGTAGCAGCTTGAACCAAGAGTTTCCACTGTTCTTCATTTATAATTTGAAGGCTGTGGATATAGATTAAAAAGTGGAAATTTGAGATTTTTTCATGTAATTCGTTGAAATTATCACTTGTTGCAGATTGGAAAATATATTTCTTCAGTTCCTGGTAATCCTGAGATTGCCCCATTGCTTGTCTATTAGCCCATGGGAATCCGCCTTTGCTGATAAACATTGGGGGCTTTGATGGAATAGTAGCAGTTTCACCAACTTCTTTGTCTTCGGTAGATTCTTGTTTTGTATCTTCTGTTGACTCTGTAGTTGGAAACCCATGAGATAATGACACTAACAGATAATCGTTTGGGAATGCAGGTTTTGCATTTTCTTTAACCGTTAAATTATATTCATTCTTTTTCATATAAAATATCTCTGGGACGTACCTTTTATTTGTAGTTTCATTAATGTATGCCATTGATGGATGAGTAGAACCACTAATCATTGTAGCATCAATCAATGCTTCTGCATCGGTTGATACTTGATAACTGGAGATATCAATATTACCTTCGAGGTTCCCAGATATCACACAAGTAACAAATTTAGAAGAGAAAGTATTTTGTTCACTAAATTTGCATATATTTGGATGTTCCAATTGGTGTTTGGCTGCCATAATCACTTCGAATGATGACAGGAAAAATGAATCCTTATGTCTTTTACAAAATACAGAACCGTCACCATTGCCAGAATCAGTTAAATCTGTAAACATTAAACCAATTCTAAATAATCTCATCTTTGAAGCCAAATCATCTATCTCTTTCATCTCCTTCAGTACTTGTTCCCCATCCATGGTAAGACCATCTTGTTCATCATGCTGAGGTGGTTCATATATAGCCTCTACGACTGCTTTGATCCCTAATGGGGTTGAGTCATATTTCTTATAAGTACCATACATGTAAGCAAACCTTTGCATACCTGTAGATCTCCATGCTTCTATAAAATTGTTAATCAGTGCACTATTTTGAAATTCGACATGATCTACCATTCTAAACTCCTGTTGTTGTAAAGTGATTGCCGACGGTTGACATTTAGAACAAATACCTCTAGGCCATGATTCATGACCATTAGTACAATGTAAATCTATCTTGAAATTTGGTTCTGATAAAGGTGCGATATATGAGCTGCCATTTTCTTTCTTATTAGTAGCTTCGTTGATCCTTTTCAAATAAGAATGGAAAGAAATATGTTTAATATTATGTTCTTCATGATAACTTTTATCCCATGGCGGTAAAGGAGAACAATATTCACACATACCTTTATCACCGTGTTTACAAAGTGGAGATCTCTTTCTTGAAATAGATCCATTTTCCTTCTCCAATTCCATATCAATTGGTAATTCTGAGGAATTATTAGTATTAGTCTTTAAGGAGTCAATGTTAACACTTTGGGAATTAGAGTCATGTTGTTGTGAGATATGTGTAGTGGCCACTGCAGCAGCTGTCTCGTTAATATCTGTTGAGTTCTTATCATAAGTAATATATACAATATCACCATGATGTAGACCCAGATCACGCACTGTTCTTTCGATTATATTCCCCACAGGTTCCCCATTATTTAAACCAGGTTTGTCACTAACTTTAATCGATGATACATCAATGGGTTCTTTCAATTGAGTCAGTAAATTTTCTAATAATGCACCAAATAAGTTGCTCTCTTCACAGGAGACTCTATGCATCCCATCTTTCGATCTAAATCTAACCAACATGTTCGTAATGTTAGATTATGGTAGATTCATGCAATTATTTAAATATATATATAAGAGCTGTAGAGGAACTCTAAAATGTAGTTGATTATATTCACTAAAAGAAATTAGTTCTTTATAGTAGCAAACAACTCCTAAAATCTATTCAAACTAGTATTTGAACTTCTTCTACCTATTCCTATTCCATCAAGAAACCAACTGCTCTTTGTCCAGTGGCAAAATCCCCTTCGTTTCTTCTTATATAAAGAGAGATTCATTGATAGTTTTTTACCACTGAATAACCCTAATAGGGCTCCCCTTCGAATCCCGTCCATTGCCAAATATTTTATTTGAAAATGCGCGTTTGTCGTACACGAAAACCAATATATTGAAAAATTTGGTGGTGAAAAAAAAGAGACGAAGTCGCTATTGCGCGGCGGGCAGACGAACAAACTAATGATGGGACAAGTTGTGAAATTATTAGGTGACAGCACATAAGAAGAGGTTGAATAATTGAACTTGATCTTTGAATATTTATGAGGCATATCAGGTAAAAGGGCAGTAAGGATAGTACACTAGAGAATATTGAATAAGAAATGGCTGATAATAGTACATTTGAGGAAGGATTTAACACTACCTATTCCGACAACTTTAACGGCACTTTCAACGGCACGTTTAATGGTACCTATAGTAATAATACAAATGGTACATTTACAGAAACAGAAGAGAAAGTGAAAACGATTCCAATTTCTTTCTACACCCCAATTATCTATGCTGTCATCTTAATCGTGTCGTTGATCATCTTCTCAAAACGTTATAGAGAAGGCAGGATTAGAAAGTTGGCTGAACAACCAGAAATCTTTGATGAACATGATGCTAAAGAATTATATTTTGAATTGAAAGAATTAAGTAAAACTGAGAAAATACATGAAAAGGTGTTGAAAGCTGCTCTGTTGAACCGTGGTGCCGAAGCTATAAGACGTACTTTGAAATTGAAAGAATTAGGTCCACAAATTGAATTGATGTATAAGAATGGGTCTGTCGGTGAAGACTATTGGGAAAGATTCCAAGCTGAAACTAAATTTGTTGAAGTTGAATTTAGAGACACTATACAAGAGTCTGAAAACTTACAACCAGGCTGGCCTAAGATGTTTGCTGCTCTATGTCAAGAAATTTGTTTCAATCAAGCTTTAAGCAGACGTTATCAATCTATCTTAAAACGTAAAGAAGTTTGCATAAAGGAATGGGAATTGAAATTGAATAATGATGGTACTTTAACTAAATAGTAATATCTATCTTTTCGATTTTTATAGTAATATAGATAATTATAAACATAATACATATTTTTTTAAGATTAAATAGATTAAAAATAATATGAAAATGTAATTTATTGTGTCTTTATAAATACATAAAACATTACTTATCTATAAGAAGATTTATTTTTCAATTTTTTGTTGTTATAATACACTATTTTAAGAATTACTATATGTTACAAAGATATATTTACTATTTGAATGTATCAAATAAAATAAAAAAGGAAATCATATTCGTAGACTATTAGTACTAATGTCTCTTACCTTTCTTTTTACTAACAACTTGGAATTCCCAGTCATCATCATTACCTTCTGGTAAAGCTAATGCTTCACTCCAACTTAATGGATCCTTAACTTGTTTTTCACATTGAACACGTTTCTTTGTAAATTCTGTAGCAAATCTTCTTCCGTCCATAACAGAACTATTAGAATAAATAGTATCTGCAATGATTTCATTAGCAATTGGACCAGCTGGTAAACTTAATAAAACCTCTAGCACACTATTCATAGATATACCGGGGTTTAGTTTTAACTGTGATTTACACCATCTCAAGAACTCTTGACGAGCAGAAATAGATGCATTACCAGGATAATGATTAGTCGAAATAGCTACAGCCGGTTTCTTTAAACTTGGAACACTAATTGATTGACCCACTGGTTTCAAAGTGGCATTCTTCTTGTCAATAGTATTGGTTTTCTTTGTGACAGTACTCCATGCACCATCATCAGATGTTGTAGTTTTGTGCTTGGTGTTGTTGCGTTGAACTTGTTCCCAAATTTTTTTCTGTTCTTCAATAAAGCTTGGATCTTCGAGAGGTTCCTTCTTTGAAGTTATCTTGGTTGAATTGTTTTTTTTTGGGGTGTTGTTCATTAATTGAGATTTAATATCAATAGAAACAGGAATTTGTTGGGATTTTTTTGGCATTGATGCCCAATTCAGCATTGCTTTTCTACTCTCTTCTTCTTTATCTTGTAATAAAATTTGTGTGTTAAGTTTCATAGCTCTTTGTCTTTCTCTTGATTCTTTCTCCTCTAATTTCTTCTGAGCATGAATAGCCTGTTCTTTAAGGTTAATCTTTGGAATTGAAGAAACATTAACTGTCTTGTTGGCCCATGGAGCAGTTACTATAGGAGCCGATGGTATGGCCTCAGAATTAGCAGCTGAATTTTGCTTAAAATTTGTTTCATCTTCTGTTTCGACTTCGTCTTCAGCTTCTGACATTCCAAGTAATTGATTTGCCTTTTCAGCCTTCAGCGCTTCTAATTTTTGTTTTTGATTCATTTTTTTCTTTTCTTTATGAACGACCTTCTCTTGTTGCTCTTTTAATTTCTTTTGTTTCTTTTGAAGTTTCAGTTCTTCTCTCTTGCGGGATTCACGTTCATTTCTTTCTTGTTCTTCTAATAATAATTTAGCTGCTTTCTCTGCTTTTTCTTTACGCCTTTTCTCTTCATTTAAACGAGCATTTTCTCTTGCGTTTAATTCGGCTTCTTTCTTCAATTGTTCTTTCTTAATAACTTCTTGTCTTTCATTCTCTTTTCTTTCAAGTTCAAACTTTTCTTGGTTTTCACGATTCTTAATTTCATCTTCTTTAGCAAAGATTTGCATCTTTTCAACATACTCAGGTGTCTCCTTAATGGCCCAATAATCACCTAGATCATTTTCTTTAATGATAGTAGATACGTCCATCTTTCTAATATGTTTTCTGTTCATTGATACCGGGACAGTCACTTCGCGATAATAACTTCCATCATCAAATTTCATCTTAAATATTTCATCCTGTGTATAATCACCACTTGCTTCGATATCTGCTTCTGCTACCAGATGTTCTCTTTGCCTGTTAATTTTTTGTTCCAAAGTTAAATCATCTAAATTATTTTCTTGTTGTGGCTCTTCTTTTTTTGTTTGAGAATCTGCTGGGAAAAAGTTTGAGACTCTTGGTAACGTATTTGTCACATTCGTGATTGTTTCAGTCGTCACAGGTGGGTTAAATTGATGGTTTGTCATATGCATCTGCGGAGGAAGACGTTGCTGTTGCTGTTGCTGTTGTTGAAATATTGAGACCATTTGATCAAATGCACTAAATGGATCTTTAACATTTTGAACCAAACGAGCTAAATCTGTCAAAGTAATGAATCTATCATTAATTCCCAATGGTTCATAAGTGGATCCCATCCGACATATTGATAAATCCGGTTGAAAGTAGTTCGATTCATACCATTTCGCCATTGTTGAAGAATCGAACGGACCCTGGATATTTCCTTGCATATCTTTATATTTCCAATGTGAAATGATTGGTTGTGGGAATGGCATGAATGAAGCGGGAATTCCTGGTGGCAATGGGTTCAAGGCAGGGTTTGCACCTGGAGGGTGCATCTGTAGAAGTGACGATGTGGAAGATGTATGCAATGGGATTTGATGATTGAACACGGACGTTTGGTTGACACTTGGCATGACGGTAGTACTGTTATTGTGATTCAGTGGCAACGATGGATGCAATGCATTGGGAGTAGATGGGTCGTTATGATGGTGATTCTGTGAGGTGGAGGAAGAAGAAGATGGCTGCCAGGAATTCAATAAAGCCGATTGAGATCGTGCAGTGGTCAAGGGTGGTCGTTGATTCAATGCATCATGATGTTCTGCTGTGGAACCATTGGCATACGGAGAGGAAGCCCTTTGCATTCCGATGGAATCCACCAATGAGGAAGTCCGTGACAAAGGAACCCTGTCGCCAAGTAGCGGGTGAGGTACAGTAGTATTATTGTTGTTGTTGTTGTTGTTATTGAATTGTAAGTTTTGAAACTGGTAACTTAATGGATCGTTATTCATTGCTGGTAGGAGTGCGACGAGGGATTGTAGGTATGTTGTAGTGTGCTGGTGATAACTGCAAACTACTCGAGATGAAGTACGTATATAACTGCTATTTTATGTAATGAAATGATAGTTGAAGGGTGACATGCTAGTTAAAATAAAAAAATTACAAGCTGGGGGAACAAAAAAAAATTGTTCATCGAGCATTTAAATAATTGCAGTGTGAATGAAAAAAAATTAAAAGAAAAAAGAGGGAAAACACAATCAGGTTAAATATAGAGAGAGGGAGAGACATATAGAAACGATTGGTGTTAAATGAAAAGTGTGTTTCGTAGAGGTGGATTACACAATCATGTTGTAATGACGATAATATTAAATCGTATGTAATTTATATAGATATATAAAAAATCTTAAAACTAGGTAAATGAGGTAAAGAAAGGTTATAATTTCAAATCATTTTCCATCAAAGTATGAATATCTTTAGCAACATCGGTCGAAGCCATGTTTCCACTAGCATCTGTAGTATAAACGTCTTCCCAATCAATCGAAGTATCTTTATTTAACAGGATATCTTTATGTAGCGAATTTCCATTGCTGTGAATTGGGTTGAAGCCTGATTTTTCAATGATTTCTACTTCCATGACACGTTTCATTGGTTCGGCAATCCCGAAGATCTGGCGGTACTGTTCCAATTGTCTCTCTCTCTGGGTAGTTTCCCAGTTATTTATACGATCTTGTAACGGATGGCGGTTACCTATTTGACTTGATAATGGTACTGCCCCACCATTTTGTTGACGCAGAGTATCAGGTAGCGAAGGTACAGCATTTGATTGATGTAGGGTATCCTGAGAGGTAGACACTGAGGAGTTGAAGTTGTTGCCAGGTATCACGTTCATAGTATGCTGTGTATGTGTATGTATGTCTTGGTTAGTTGCAATGTTCCAATAAAGTAACTAGTTATTTTGCCACCTTCCTTATTTTTATAAGATGTGATATGTATGGTATTAGTCCCCATTATGAATATCATTGAAATTTTCAAAGCGAACAGGGCGCGCAGCGCAAGAGAGAGAGAGAGAAAGTCAAACTAACATATATAGAAAGTGACCCATACAAAATTCACAAACAATCATGTACATATACATGTATATGTACATGTATGCTAGCAATAAACAGGGTGTTTTGTTTGCAAAATGTATGAACACGTGTCAACACTGCACGAACCACACTCCGACAGGAAATCCACCTATTCCACAGTTAAAGTATCTCCAAATGGACAATGCGTAGCCATTCCTCAAGACACACACATACTAATATACGATATCACGAACGACCACGCACCACCACCACCAGCGACTAGAATAGTAACCAATCACACGTTGCCAATATCCGACGTGTGCTGGTCACCTGACGGCGAGTGTATAGCCACCGCAAGCGACGATCACACCGTGGAGATCGTGCACGTGACAATGTATGGCATATTACATATTTTAACGGGGCACACTGCTCCAGTGGTGACGTTGTGTTACAACAGCAAGGGCAACTTGCTGTTCACGGGCTCGATGGATGAAAGCGTGAAGACGTGGGATGTCCTTAATGGCAAGTGTCTGCGAACGATATCTGCGCACTCGGATTCCGTCGTGAGCCTGACGTTGCCTCACTGTGATGACTCGGTGATGGCGTCCGGGTCGTACGATGGGCTGGTGCGGATATTCGATACGCAGACCGGGCATTGTCTGTCGACGCTAACGTACGACAAGGACTGGAAGCATAGTGGGCGGGTCGTGCCCATCACGCAGTTGGAATTCTCGTTGAATGGGAAGTTCCTGTTGGTGAAGAGTCTTGACGGCGCTGTGAAGTTATGGGACTGCATACGTGGGGTGGTGGTGAGAACGTTTGTCAATAGGCAGGATGATAATAATAGTAACGATGCTACGAATGAATGGCGAGGGAAGTTCAGTGGTGGCATGGCCATAGGCTATATCGATCCACCAGAGACCCATAGTAACGGGATAGTAATTAGTGGAGACTCCAATGGCTATATCAGCTGTTGGGACACGCACACCAAACGATTGTTGCAAAAGATGGACACGGAACAGCGGAACCCGATTATGGACATGTGCACGGTGAGAAACAAGCTAGCCGTTATCACGCGCGACGGCCGCTGCGACATTTATAAATGGGGGGCAGAACAGAAGTGCGATGAACCCTCGAAGAACATATAAAATCTAAATAAGTAGTAATAGAACACAATACAATAGAATAAGGGCACGCACGGCGGCACGAGTAGAATTAAGAAAAGCAATGATGCTAGGAACTGTAAGATGTAGAGCTCCATTGGCCCGATCATTACGACCATTCAAGCATTTTTATTCATCGCATTCCCCAATCGGTAATGTCAAGCGCTCGCTAACTATTGCCGATATCAAAGCCAAATATGTCAGTGGTGCACCCTTGAGTATGATTACAGCATATGATTATTTGACTGCACAATGGGTGCAGGACAGCAATAGCGATATGTTACTAGTGGGCGACTCCATGGCTATGACTTCGTTGGGTTACACCTCCACTACTGAGCTGCCATTTGATGAGTTTAAATATCACGTGCAGGCGGTGACTCGTGCCTCTGGTTCCTCAATGGTGGTGGTAGATATGCCATTCGGATCATTCGAAGAGAGTTATGCGCATGGTGTTGCCAATGCTATCCGGCTATTGAAACTGAGCCCTAAAGTGATATCCTTGAAAGTGGAATGTGGCGACTACCGGCGAGATCGTTACACGTTTGGGTTCATTCGTGAGTTATGCGAGAGGGGCATCCCCGTGATGTCTCACATTGGGTTGACTCCACAACGTGCAAATTCATTGGGTGGGTTTAAAGTACAGGGTAACCAATCCGCCGCAGAGATCTTGTCGTTATACGGCACGGCAGTGCAATTGCAGAAACTGGGCTGCTGGTCAACGGTGATAGAATGTGTGCCGCATAAAGTGGCATCGTTCATCACTCAACAGCTAAGCATTCCAACCATTGGGATTGGAGCGGGGATGGGGACAAGTGGACAAGTCCTGGTGGTTAGTGATATGTTAGGATTATCTTCTACTAGTAGCGATACTGACCAATCTTTATTGCCAAGATTTGTTAAACAGTATGACCAGTTAGGACCTGTAGCTAAAGCAAAACTGCAACAATATAACAAAGAAGTACAATTAAAACAGTTCCCATTGATGGAACATTCCTTTAAATTGAAAGAAACGGTATGGAATGAATTCTTGGATTTAATTAAAAAAGATAATTGAAAGTAGATATGTACATAGATATATATCCTGTATATTTAATTATTTATTTATGCGAAAGTTCAAACTGTTTGCGTATACGCCATGTTTCAAATTTAGCTCTTTGTTGTAAATCGTGTTGTTGTCTTAATGTTAACATATTACTATTATTATACTCATTAGTTTCACTGCGAATCACTGACCCTATTGACATAAATAGACCAAAAGTACCCGCAGAACCAGCAATATATTTACCTAGTGTTCTAACAACTCCATCAGGTCCCGCACCCTGGGTCATTATAGTAAAACCGCCAAATAATACACCCGTGCAGACACCAACAGATGTACCCATTAATAAACCCATCTTGAATTTATCCCAATTCGACGCTTCTTCTTGTCCATAAACTTGTTTAACTGGTGGCATTATGTATATGTATGTGATGTTGTGCACTTCTACGTTTGCAGGTTCGTTTGTCTGTGACTTTCTTACTATTATCTTTTTATATATACCCCCTACCTATATATATATATATATATATATATGCTTCCTTGCTTCCTGGTTTGCTTGTTTGCTTGCTTTTATTTTTTTTTGTCTCTGTTCATATAAAGCCGCATCCTTTATTTTTGTTTTAATATACACAGTTTAATTGGATAATGATCCGTTGAATGAAAAATATTTATTATATTGATGATGATTTCTATATGTTTATAGAATAATGCCTGTATGTATGTATGTATGTATTTGATTTCGTTTGATTTGGTTTGGTTTGATTTAGTTAACTCACGAGTCTACGTTTTGAATTTGCAAATAATTCGGAATCACACCACGCTATAGTGACCCAATTCCATACCATAAATGGACATAACCATACCCAACACCAATAATATAATGCCGTACTATTGCATGATACATATAGATATGATACGATAGCAATCATTAATATAGACCATGTGCTACCAAGAACAACATATCCTGCTGTCTTTTGTTTCATCCCTAAAAAAATCACTGTCCACTCCTGATATGCTCTTTCTCGTATATATGTATATGGATCCTTTTCTTGTTCCCCTTGATATTGAACTGGACTATTATTCATAGTTTTATTGAACTTGAATAGTATTGGTAACTTGTTTTGAACAATTTACTTTTTTTTTTCATTTTATGGTTTCTTCGAACGCGCGTAGATAGTAAAAAAGAACAATTCCAATATATATATATTGTATTCATTATATAAGGAAGTAAATACATATATCCTATTACAATACATTCTTATCAAAACTGTCAAAGAATTGAGCTAATGCTCTGGTGGACCAAGAGTCCCCATCAGATTGAATGTACGATAAATGACCCCCCAAATCGGTTTCATATAATGCGACATTGGAATTTTTATTCAAATATTCTTGTGGGATGGCAACATCACCAACAACTGGATCATCCTTAGAATTTATAGCTAATAATGGAATAGCAACATTTTGAATTCTATTTAACGAAGTGGCTTCTCTATAATAGTCCATACCACTCTTGAATCCTAAACATGGTGCAGTAAAGACATTATCAAACTCAATTATCTTGGTCATTTTAAATGCTTTTTTCAAATTGGATTGAGTGAATGTATAAAATTGAGGATTTTCAACTGTAGGTTCATGATCAGGTTTAGTACCTTCAGGAACCTCTAATTCACCCATATTAACTTTGACTAATCTAACCAAGAATTGAGTTATTGACTTTGAGAATAAGTTTCTAGACCAAAAATCATTTTGTAATTTATCAGCTGATAGAACCATATCCCATGGATTACATAATGTAGCAGCTGCTTTCAATGGGGTCTTTTCACCAACACGTGCCAAATAATTGGATAACATTAAAGCACCAAATGAACAACCTACGGCATAAAGGTTTCTATCTGGCTGTCTTTCTTTCTCTCTTAAAGCAAAGTGTTCAATATCACCCGTATGTAACCCGGTAAATAATGCATGAGTAGTAATCTTGGATCTTGCACAACCTCTTGTGTTTAACACAACAACTTGGAATCTACCATTATCAATCTGGGATAAATGCATGGCTAAAGATCTAATAATAGGTTCATGGGAACCACCTGCCAACCCGTGCATGATAATTACAACAGGACGTGTATCGTCATGAGTTTCCTTTAATTCAGATTCTGACATGTATCTTGTACGAGGATGTAAACGAGGCCAGTTGTCAGGATGAGTCTCAGCTTCATCCTTGTTAAACTTTTCTATATCAAATTTACCTGTAGTTTTATCCTGGTTATATTTAGTAGACCAATCTGATCTAACCCAATCAGCAGTACATACACCATCCTCAAATTGAACAATTTCTCTGCCATAAAAATTTGGGAAGGATTTGGAGAAATCAGCAGCACTCAAATACATGGTTTGCAAAATACCAGTGAAAATCTTAGGATCCAATCTAAATTTAGCACCATCTTTTAACGCAGGTACATGTTGTTGAACAAATTCATTAAATGGTATAGTTTCTTTTGAATCCTTTAATGAGATTTCAACAGAACCCTTTTCACTTACATGTTCTTCTACGCTACCATTATAACCCCAATGAAATGGGTTAATCAGTGGGTATGTCTTAATTCCGTGGGTTAACATGGTATGTAACTACTTCTTTCTTTTAGAATATATGGTAAAGAACAGATTGATTAGTTCCCCTATTTTCTAAGTTAATAACTAATTTCTCGAGGACAAAAAAGTGAAAATGAAAAAAAAGTGATAACAATAAAGTTGTCTAAATATATATGCTATTTTGTGTCCTCAATATGTAAGGGTTCAAAGAAAAACTTCTCTTCCCATTTATTTATATATAAATAGTCAATTAACTAACGTATGCAAGTTTTATGTCATTGTCTTCATGGCTTATCTAATTGAAAATAAACCGTCCCTCATTGCGCGACTTCCGAATTTTATTTACTTTTATACTTATTTTGTACGGAGAGTTCACTGAGAGAACGCGAGAATAATAATTAGATTTCGGTCTCGGTTATAACTGACAGAATCCGGAATAACGAATGATAAAACTTTTCAAAGGTTTCTCTCATTGTTTGTGTTAATGTTTCATCGTATTCCATCGGTTCAGCTTTAAATCTAGTTTACAATGTGATTACAACCTTTAATGTATCGTTTGTCATTGAAATATATATATTATACATATATACTTTTATGTCCTTGTAGAAGGATGAATTGTTTTCAATAGCATATTTAGTCAACTTCAAGGTTGATGCTGTCAACTATGTTTCTTTCGGAAGTAGTCCTCTGTAAAATCTCAGTGAAGAATTTGATAGATATTGTGTTGTTCTCTTGTTTTCTTTCCAGTTCATGTTTCTTTCCTTGTTTCTTGTCGACTTCTAATTCACATGTCTTCATTATTTCTCTCGTTGGAGTCTTTAATACTTCTTGGACTTCGTTGCTAATACGTCTGGCATTTGTATGGATGTAATCCATCTGGATCAAATGTTCTTTGTACTTTATTAACAAATTTTGAGGTAAGGCTCTTGGAATATCGTAAACTATATATGCCATTCCAAGTAATGAACCTGCAATTACAACAGAACCTGCAATTTGACCTAAGGATTTCCATGAAAATGCACTTAGTCCATTGAATATTACTGTAGTTGCAATTTTTGAACCACCAAAGGAATAGATTGCTAGTGCAGGTAATTTGGAAGTAAATAACAAAGAGGGTCTCTTCCAATATTGACTTAATGGATAATTTCCAAGACCTAGGACAGATCCTACAGTGGTGATGCTCTTATTATCCTCAGTTTTGTTTTGTTTTTCGATCTCAGCAGGTTTCTTGTGCCAAGATATTTTCATCGGACTAAATAATGCCCACGATAGGTACTCAATTAACCCATCCAAAGATGGAGCGTATAGATCAGAAAAGGTTAATGGAACAGAGAAGTTTTTAGATATTTGATGAGTGCTTAGACTAAACATTAATCCAACATCAAATATTCTATTTGACATAAATTCATCACCCAACTCATCTCTGCCAGTAGAGTAAATTTGTTCAACGACTGTTTTGGTGGTATATCTGGCATGAAGTTCACTTGCTACAGTACTACTTTTAATTTGATCCTGAAAATAATGTTCAGTTTGAAATACAAAATCGTAAAGACGTGAAATACCTGGGTATTGTGGTAAATCTTGGCAATCAATAGACAAACAATTCATTATATGATTCTTTGTAAAATCGTATGTCTCAGTGACAGTTTCTTCGGATAATTTATCTATGGATTGTGTGACGCCTCTATAACGTCTTTTGATCGTATCTACAGTCTCTGTTAGGTATAATAATTCTTCTTTGATCATGTTCTCCTCATTTCGATATATTGATAAGTTATTATTGGAAATTTTGCCAATATCCGAGAGAACTTTGCATAAATAAGTTTTAGCAGGTAATAGTTTTGATTGGGACCTTCTTTTCAACACAAAATTACGTAAAGAATTTTCTAAATTCTCAAAATCGGGATCTATATTGATGTCGTCACTATCATTATCGTCACTATCTCCGTTATCATCTGGGTTTGGTGAGTTACCGTTTTCTAATTCAGGTTCAGATATGAAATGGACAAATTCTTTAGATCTCTTATATGTTTCGGGTGATAAATCCTTTATTTGTTCTAGTATCAACTTTTTACATCTCTCTTTATCTTTAATTCTATCGAATTTTTTCACTACAAAGAACATTAATTTTTTCTCTCTAGAAGCAAGTGAAATAAATTCTTTTGCAGAAAGAGTTAATTGATTCTCTGCATTGACTACAAATATCACCAAATCAATCTCTTCTTGACGAGCCATAACTTCCGATGTTTGTACTGAATCCATATTCAAACCGGGAGAATCTATCAAGGAGATGTCCACAGTCCCATTACGTAATAGACTCTTCTCTGTGGGTCTTTTATCATCCTTAATATAAATCTTTAATAATGCGTATTTATCATTTTGCATTACTAGTTCATCCAATTCCATTAATGTATGTATTTCATACGTCATATGGTTTTTAATATCATATTGATCAGCACATTCTTTGACTGTTGAAGCTAAACTATTTGGTATGGCATGTACTTCTTCAATACCTTCATTTTCACGTGCTTCCAATATTTCACAAAATACATTAGTGCAAGGTAATTGATCTTCTGGCAATAATTGCCTTCTTAATAGGTTGTTGCAAAATGATGATTTTCCTGTATTTAAATCACCGGTTATAAACACTTTTGACGATACATCATCAACTCTATGTTGTAAGGAAGCTAAATGCTCAATTGATTTTTCTATCTGATTATGTAATAATGTAGCCATTGCATCATTATCTAATTTAAAATCATTTTTACCGTTAGAGTTATTATTATAATGGCCATCCATTCTTAAGTTAATTTGTAATACTTGTAAATCTTGAGATATATCTACCTGAACGGGCCTCGTTGAATTTTCTTCATTAATTTGTTGTAACAGATTCCTTAATGTCGCTATGGAAGAATTTAATTTCGACCTATTATTATTATAATTCCATTGACTTAATTGTGATGAAACTAGACGTTCTTGCGATGATGGTATAGCACGATGTTTTTTATTATTATTGTTCAGCTTACGTCTAGATAATCCATGTATATTGGATGGTAAATCAAGAGCTAGATCTTCATCGTCGTCATCATGACCATAAAGGTCCTGCATTGATTGTGGATCATCATCATTATCATTAATGGAAAAAGTGCCGGTATTTCTTGAATAAGTTATAGTATTAGCAGGAAGTTCAGCGTTCTTTTCTTCTTTATCGTCGCTCTCAGGTTTTTGGGTAGCTTTATGACTACTATTATTATTATTACTGGGTATATTCTTTTGTGACATCTTTAATACAAAGTTTTTTGCTCGTTCTATCTTTTTAAAAGGTTCTTATTTACAATTTGAGAAATAGATACAAAAAATTTGATTTAGCATATAATATATGTATACGTTCCGTCTCTCCTACAAAACTGATATGTATGTACGATATGTTTAAAATCTTTATTCCTTTACTTTTATTCTAAATCAAATCAATATATACCCTAATAGAAATGTGTATTGATCTAGCTCATCATCTCTTCCAGGCAGCCATATCCACTCTCTCTTTATCTTTCTGTTTCTTGCCGGTAAAGGTTTCCCTTTTTTTGGGGTGATTGGTTGTTCGTCCGAATCATTCACGGCAGAAAATATCAATTAGAAAATATTGCATATATTTCACTCTTATTGGAAGACAAACAGACAAAGAAAGAGATATTCTGTGCAGAGCAGTCCCGGAGTTATTTGTATAGTTAGAGAATGGATATATCTAGACTTGTTCATTTATAATGAATTGAACTTCCTCATGTTGCATAAAGTAATTCAGTATGCTAATTTAATACGAGAGTGCCCCCCATCACAGTTCAATGAGCGTAAGTAAATCGTTGACATAATTTACACCTAAATATCACGTTGTAGTCACGTGCAGCGATTAACCGTGCTCAGTGACCAACTTCGGACACAAAGAAAATAAGAAAAAATTTAAAACGAAAATTTTTCCTCTTCGCAGAGTGGAGCGAAATAGAAGCTCATCTCATCGCATGAAATTTTTTTTTTTTTTGATTATTTCATTTTGGGGCCATCATCTACTGGTATAACGATAATTATTAGAACATATTTACTGAATACTACTAAAAACTTGTTTGCTTTATTTCAGGTTACTTATCTTGTATTTGTATAACTTACTCCATTTATTTTTTATAGGTAGAAGCAAACTAACAAGTGTTCATTTTATCAAGAAGAAGAAGAAGACCAAAATGCAACTATCCTGGAAAGATATCCCAACAGTCCCACCTGCTAACGATTTGCTGGACATTGTTCTTAACAGAACCCAGAGAAAGACTCCTACTGTCATTAGACCTGGTTTCAATATTACCAGAATTAGAGCTTTCTACATGCGTAAAGTTAGATTCACTGGTGAAGGTTTTGTTGAAAAATTCGATGATTTATTGAAAGGTTTCCCAAATATTAATGATGTTCATCCTTTCCACAGAGATTTGATGGATACTTTATATGAAAAGAATCATTATAAGATCTCTCTTGCTGCCATTTCTCGTGCTAAGTCCCTGGTCGAACAAGTCGCTAGAGATTATGTTAGATTGTTGAAGTTTGGTCAATCTCTTTTCCAATGTAAACAATTGAAGAGAGCTGCACTTGGTAGAATGGCTACCATCGTAAAGAAATTGAAAGATCCTTTGAACTATCTAGAACAAGTCCGTCAACATTTAGGTAGATTGCCATCTATTGATCCAAATACCAGAACTCTATTGATCTGTGGTTACCCTAATGTTGGTAAGTCCTCTTTCTTAAGATGTATCACCAAAGCTGATGTCGAAGTTCAACCTTATGCTTTCACTACCAAATCCCTATATGTCGGTCATTTTGATTACAAGTATCTACGTTTCCAAGCTATTGATACTCCAGGTATTTTGGATAGACCAACTGAAGAGATGAACAATATTGAAATGCAATCCATTTACGCCATTGCTCATTTAAGATCTTGTGTTTTATACTTTATGGATCTTTCAGAACAATGTGGTTTCACTATTGAAGCCCAAGTTAAACTATTCCACTCTATCAAGCCATTGTTTGCTAACAAATCTGTTATGGTTGTTATTAACAAGACTGATATCATTGCTCCAGAAGATTTGGACGAAGAACGTTCCCAATTATTACAAACCATTAGAGACACTCCAGGTGTTGAAGTGATGGCTACTTCATGTCAATTAGAAGAAAATGTTATGGATGTAAGAAACCAAGCTTGTGAAAAATTATTGGCCTCTAGAATTGAAAATAAATTGAAATCTCAAGCTAGAATCAACAATGTCTTGAATAAGATTCATGTATCTCAACCTCAAGCTAGAGACGATGTAAAGAGAGAACCATATATTCCAGATCAATTTAAACAATTGAGAAAATATGATGCTGAAGATCCAGAGAGAAGAATGTTGGCTAGAGATATTGAAGCTGAAAATGGTGGTGCTGGTGTGTTTAATGTTAACTTGAAGGACAAATATCTATTGGATGATGATGAATGGAAGAATGATGTCATGCCAGAAATTTTGGATGGTAAGAACGTCTATGATTTCTTGGACCCAGAAATCGCTTCTAAATTACAAGCTTTAGAGGAAGAAGAAGAAAAACTGGAATCTGAAGGTTTCTATAATTCAGATGATGAGGAGAACTTTGATGGTTTCGAAGGGGAAGAGCTTGATGACATTAGAGAAAAGGCTGACTGGATCAGAGATAGACAAAAGAGAATGATCAAAGAAGCTAGAAATAGAAAATCTCTTAAGAACAAAGCTATTATGCCTCGTTCCAAATTATCTAAATCCTTCGGCGATATGGAAAAGCACATGTCTACTTTGGGACACGATTTATCTACTTTGCAAGATAAGCAAAGAGTACAAGCCGGCAAGAACAGATTTGTCGAATCTGGTGCTGATGTCGTCTTTGGTGGTTCTGAAGCTGCTTCTGCAACCAATGCTAATGGTGGTAAATTAAAACAATCCGATAGATTATTGGATGGTGTTGCTGACGGTTTCCAAAGATCTAAGGCTGAAAGAATGGCTAAATTGCAAAGAAGAGAAAGAAATAGAAATGCTAGAGCTGGTGAAGCTGATAGACATGAAACAGCATCTCTACCAAAGCATTTATTCAGTGGTAAGCGTGGTAACGGTAAGACTGATTTCCGTTAATCGGAATATGTTTTACATTTTACTCCCAAAAGTTATTTTTTACATGTGCATTTTCATCATTTCTGGTTTAAAAAAAACAAGCCCAAGTACTATTGTTCCTCCCTTATGTATAAGAGGATAGCAATTAGTAATACCATTAACCAAATAAGTATTTTTAAGAGATATGGGAGTCACATACTGATAGTTATTCCATCGTCTTAAACTTTATTGTATATTATTTACCTTTAATAAATTCTCAAAATATTTTGATATCTGATAACATATTTATTTATAAAAGTTGTTACGCGTTTGTTGGAAAATTGCAAAAGTGTATGATTATGATATTGGCAGTTCCATACACTTAATTCACAACATTAATATTTTATTAGTCGTTTAGATAAAAGAACTCACGTCATTACTATTTAACAAACGCTGAAGTCTTAAAATTGTTAAAGATATTTAAAATGTATTAATTTGAATAAAAATTTATCATCTATATGTAGTAATATACTATTTAGTAGTATTCTAGTTGGCAGTATCAACAAAGAATAGACATTACATATAAATAATGACTAGATGTCATAATATATATAGCATAAATACGTCATATATAAAACATATTTGTCGTAAATTTATAAATTTATGTTTTTTGCTGTCTTCGACTATTTCACTTGTTTAAAAAAAATAATCGACAAAATGTCTTAAACAAGAAATTAGCGTCACAAACAAAATAACAGTGACAATTTTAAGACATAAAAGGTCAAACAAAGTAAGTTCCTACAATTAAGTTCATGGGACATAAATATATATATCTATAAAAGAATTTGTTTGGAAAATATGCAATTCAATATGTTATTCCATACTGGACCTTCAAAAAATGAGCCCCAGCCTATTATTATGCAATCAAGCTCAAGTTACGATTCTTTTAGATCGGTAGAAGCATCACAGGAAGATATGTTGAACAATAACCTAAGCACAGATATTGAAAAAGATGTAACAAAACAATCCAATATAGATCATACATTGGCTGAGTTTCCATTTAATGTTGCACAAGATAAATCACCAGTGAAAGATTCAACAGTTGAGTTGGATGATACGCTATCGCTACATGAAATTCCTTACAGTTGTTTTACAAAGTGGCAAGTTTTCACCATTTTCTTTATTGTTATATTCATTGGATTTCTTGGGCCAATGTCTGGCAATATTTATATACCAGCATTGCCCTTGTTACAGCAAGAATTTAAGGTGTCTACTACCATTATAAACAGCACTGTTTCAGTGTTCATGGGTGTATTTGCTATTGGCCCCCTCTTCTGGGGTGCCTTTGCTGATGTTGGTGGAAGAAAAATATTATATATAATATCTCTTCTTATAATGGTTGTTGTTAATGTTCTACTAGCTGCGATGCCAGCAGATATCGTCTCGTTATATATTTTAAGAGTTGCACAGGCTTTTGGTTCTAGTTCTGTGATGAGTCTGGGGGCAGGTACTGTTACTGATTTAACAAAACCAACTCATCGTGGTAAAGCAATTGCCTATTTTATGTTAGGACCAAATCTCGGTCCAATTGTAGCACCAATAATTGCAGGTCTTATTCTAATGCATGGTGAACATTGGAGGTGGCTGTTTGGATTTACCTCAATAATGGGAGGTGTCGCTTTGATAATGGTTATTATTGTTTTACCTGAAACATTAAGATGCAAAATTGGGAATGGTGACCCAGGTTGGAAGAATTTTAGAGGAATTAACGATATTCAATCAGCAGATGATTCAAATCCAGTTGTTAACCCACAAACAAAGAAATGGAAGTTCTTCGCAGATATCGGTAAGTTCACACCAGCCACTGATTGTGTTGATTTTAGAGAGTTATATCCAAGTCCACCAAGGTTTAATTTAAAACTATATTGGAAACTCTTATTGGTCCTACCAGTTACTTTAACATCAATAGCAACAGCTTTACTTTTTGCTAATTATTATGCGTTCAGCGTCACTTTATCTCATTATCTGAAGGAAAATTACAATATGTCTATTCTTCAGATTGGAGCCTGTTATGTTTGTCCAGGTGTGTCAATGGTGTTGGGTTCACAAACAGGTGGACACCTTTCGGATTATTTGAGAAAGATATGGTTACGGAAACACGAAGGTAAGCAATATCCACTTGAGTTAAGACTTGTATTGCAATATCCTGGTATTTTAATCAACACTTTAGGTTGTGTTGGATATGGATGGGCCATTCATAAACATTATCCATTGGTTGTTGTTCTGGTATTTTCTGCACTAAATGCCTTTGGTTTGACGTGGTGTAGTAACACCACTATGACTTACTTAACAGAATTATTATCACGTAGAGCTGCCGGAGCTGTGGCATTGAGTAGTTTTTTTAGAAATGTAGCAGCTACAATTAGCTCTGCTGTTATTATCAAGTTCACTGAAATGCTTGGGATTGGAATGTCCTTCACTGTCCTTGGGTTATGTAATATCATTTCATTAGTCTCCATCTTTTACATTATCAGGTATAGTGGAACCTGGCAAAACAAGGTCAAACATATTTGAGCAAATAATGAGTTATAAACTTATATACAATTATCTATAACAAAAAATAATAATAATAATAAAACATAATAATCAAAAGTTTAAGATTTATTAGGCTATGCCAAATTATACAAAATAAAGAAGTATGAGGTAGAGAGATATGTATGATTTCTACAACGAAACTTAAGCCTTTAGGGAAGAAGCTCTTCTCTTTCTGATTTCAGCCTTTTCAGCCTTCTTTTCAGATAGTCTCTTAGCCAATAGTTGAGCGTACTCAGCGGCAGCTTCTCTTTGAGCTTGAGCGTTCTTGATCTTTAGAGCCTTTTGGTTTCTCTTTCTTTGTAGTCTTTGTGGAGTGACTAGTCTTTGGATCTTTGGAGCCTTGGTGTAGGTCTTTTCACCCTTGGTGACTTCTCTTCTAATAACGAAGTCACGGACATCATCTTCCTTGGTTAGACCGAAGAACTTTCTGATCTTGTTAGCTCTCTTTGGACCTAATCTCTTTGGGACAGTGGAGTCAGTGATACCTTCTAGTTCTTGTTCACCCTTCTTGACAATGACTAGAGATAGGACAGCTAGATCTGGACCAACAATGGAACCTCTAACAGACTTTCTCTTTCTTTCACCAGAACGTCTTGGTCTGTAACAAGAGACACCCTTGGTTAGAAGCAACTTGATTCTAGTTGGTAGTAGAACACCTTGCTTCATTGGGAAACCTTGCTTATCGTTACCACCGGAAATCTTGAAAGTGTAACCCTTGAATTCGTCACCGACGGATTCACCTTCAACTTCTTGACCGATTCTCTTGTCGAAGAAGACACGAATTCTGTGTTCATCATCGATTTCGTAGGTCTTTTGAGTACCATTAACTGGGTAGGAAATGTTCAACTGTTAAAAAATAAAATATATACTGTTAGTAATTAGGACATTTATAATATTTCAAAATATGGGGATTTGATTATTCGAATGTCTATGTTATTTCTCATGAATGTTTTAATTGTATTATAATATCATATATTTATAAGTATTTGATTACCGTTTCTTCATATTTTTGATTACGAAATGGCTTTTCAACAAATCAATAGTTGAAATTATTCAGTCCAAAAAGTCTTGTTCTGGTACTATTACTATATTGCAGTGGTTCATGTATAAATTTTGTTTTCTTGAATATCTTACTCAGATCAGTTATAGTTCATTCTTTTCCATTGTATGTTTTAAATGCTAGCATACTTCACTTAATGTCATTATATCATATTCAATTATATCTCAATTCATAACATCCTTCTATTAAACTAGAACATATCGAAAAATTCGTCCACTAAATATCTCTCCACATACCTTCATGATTTCGCAATTATCTTAACGATCTTTTGTGATAAGTAGTATATAATGAGATTTGTTATCTATTTATTTAAGCTTTATTTTAATGTATATCTTACTTAGTATACAAATTTCAGAATTAACGTCTACATTTGTTAGCGAATTGCAGTTACTTAGTGTGCCCTCTGAAACCTGAGGCGAACCGTTCGTTGGACTGGCACCAACTATGAAACATTTTCGCAGAGGATAGCAACTGAGCTTCTTCCCGTTAGCTCTAAACGCGTCTTCTGTCGGTCAACTGCTATAGTATGAAATTTAAATTTGAAAATTTCAAATTCAAAAAACAAAAAGTAGTTTTAAAAAATAATCCGAAAATAAAAAAATAATCAATATTGTTTTAAAATACAAAATGGTGTGTGGGTGTTATCCTGAGGTACGGATGTTAAAAGTCACAGAAAGTATATATTTGACTTAAAATCCGATTCCTCACACTAATAAAAACATTAAGCATATTTTATAATGAAATAAGCCATAAACCAGTAATATGGGTATGCTCAATTCCATATAAGTATATATATATTTGATTTATGTATAATTGGATAATTATTTGAGCTTTTTTTCATTATTTTTTATATACTAATGTAGATAATTTTATGTATTTTTTTTTAGTTTTTATAAATGTGACATTACCCATGACTATGTTCGATTCTTATTGCAATATGTTATACTTTTTCAGTCTCTACACTCACTGCAACTTGTGACTTTGGAGATGGATGAAACTGTTCATGATTCATATTAGCGCTACTTGTGGTAGGAATCGTTGTTGAAGATGTACTATTTGGTCTTCTTACACTAGGTAAGACGATCCTATCAAAGGATGTCGGTGTAGGAGGCAAATATCTTTTATCCGGTGCAACCATATTAGTGTCTATGGGAGAGGGTCCCATAGCTAATGTTTGTGGATATGCTTGCAATCGATGGTATTCTGCTTGATACATTGGACCTGATGCAGTCATGTAGATTGGTACCGCACCACCAACACCGGAAAGTGGTGTAGTTCCAGCTTGATACCAACCATGAGCAGTGTCAATTTGCATTGCTGGATTGACATTAGGATCACTTAAATTATGTCTTTGTAAAGTACCTGCTGGCATTGGTTGTAAAAACTGTTGATTCGTTGTGTAAGGTAATACTCTCTGTGGGTAACCAACAGAAACTTGATGAGGCATAGGAGATGTAACAGGTAAATGTTGAACTGGTGGTGGAGCATAACCTGTTGGGGCAACACCTGCTGCGGCAATGCCTGCAGTCAATCCGTTTGTGTATATTGGTTGTTGAGGTACCATTGGGTTGAACTTCAAGGTCGGTAAGGTGTCTACCACTGAAGATGGAGGAGTAGTTTTATTCGATGATGTTACGCTTCTTTGTATGAAGGGTGGTGTTGCTGAGTGTCTATGAGGTTGTAGAGTCTGAGGAATATTATTGTTAGTGGTGGTGGTATCATTCTTTAATGAACCGTTATCAGTTGGATATTTATTGAAGGAGCGAATAGCATTGATATGAGGTAAATTTGGTGGCAGAAAAGTTAATGCAGGACGTATATTATTTTGAGTAGTTGATGATGATGTGCTAGTATCAGGTAGACTAGTTGTACTATGCGGTGATACTGGAGCCACTGTACTAGTTTCTTCAATATATAATCTTGGTCTCTTAGCAGGATTATGAATATCAGAATCTGTATTTTCAATTTCATTATTCTTTCTTTTAATTTTAACATCAGTGCTCTTTAAATTTGAAACAGAAGCGGCAACAAATCTAGTATTCTTCTTTGCGTAATTTCTTCTTCTAACATTTTTATTCAAAGTGACGAATTTTCTTTGTTTAAAATCTCCATAATCGGAAGGATGTTTAATGACATGCCTTAACGATTCATCATCGTTGTAATATTTCATCAAGTCATCCACTTCAACAGATGAATATTCGTAGAATGTGTTATTGGCCCCCAATATGATTAATGACACTTCGGCTTGACAAAGCACAGATAATTCGTGAGCTTTCTTGAATAGACCAGCTTTTCTCTTGATGAAAGTTACGGTTCTGTTTCTATCTTCGGTGATAGGTTGAATATCAATCTTCCGTCTTCCCATTGCAAAGTCTATGTTTATGTTTATGTTTTCTGTTTTTTTTACTTCAAATCCAAGTATGTGTGTATGAACAATTGGTATAACAAATCACAATACTAATCTATAATTAACTTTATTTTCATTGAATATGACTGTATACAAAA